AACTGGACCTAACAAGTCTGCCCGGTGCTGGGCAGTTTCTAGGCTCTGAGAATGTAAGAGAAGAATAAGGGTCGATGTGGCCCTGCAGGGACGCACACTTTTGCTGTGGGGCAGGGAGGATGATACCTGGGACTGTGAATTAAATGTAGTAATTTAATGTGCACCATGCAGAACAGATGTATGTGCAGTGGTGCGACGTAGCAGTCACCTACAAGCAGGTAAGAGGGTGACGGGATGGCCTGGTGCAGGAATCACAAGCCCATGCCCAGAGCTAGCTGCTCCCTGCACAGGCTACAGGCCAATGGTCTTTAAATTCTCAGACCGCATTTCCTAATCAGTTTTAGAGAGTTAAAAGCCTGAGCAGAACATAGCTCCTTGTTAGCTGTGTGAAGACATTTAATATCTTGTGTTTTTGTTTCTCATCTGTATAAAGGGGTTCATAAAGCATACCTGATAGAGCTTTTGTGAGGATTAAAGTATCACTCACTGCAAAATGCTAACACAGTGCTTGGCACAGAGCAATCACACACAAACCTGAGCGTCGGGAGCTCCAAGTCACACTCCGCTTCGACAAATATCTTTTTCTAATTTCTAGAAATTTTTAAAACTGGGGATTGCCTTCTCCATACGGAATTTGGTAAGATCAATATTGAAAACATACAACAAAAAATGGGGATATTTCTTAAACATGTAAAAAAATACTTGCAAATTGTTTTGTAGGTTTGTGCTTAAACATTCCTGGGCAGGACAGGGAGGTTCGAAGGAAATATCAATATCAAATCAGTGAGGACATCTGAAGGCTGCGTGCCGGAACATAAACCCCAGGCACCACTCCCCCGCCCCCATTTCCCTGTGGGACAGCCACTCCCTAACAGGGACCGGGTGGGCTGGTGTTCCATTCGAGGGACACTGCAGTACAGCTTTTCAGGGGGCTCTGGTTGGGACCTGAAAAAGTTTTGAGCTCCAAAATGCAAAAGAAAAACCCTTGCGAGACTGATTGAAATTTAACATCTTACTAATTGTCATGTGTCAACTTCAATAATGTTGAATTTAACTCTTACCTATTTCATGATTGCCCAGAAATAATCATTGTTAATTAATCAAATATTTTAAAAAATCTTTAAAAGCTAATAATTCTATTTCCGTTTTTAACTGGAACAGTGATGGCGAACCTTTTGAGCTCGGCGTGTCAGCATTTTCAAAAACCCTAACTTAACTCTGGTGCTGTGTCACATATAGAACTTTTTTGATATTTGTAACCATAGTAAAACAAAGACTTACATTTTTGATATTTATTTTATATATTTAAATGCCATTGAACAAAGAAAAATCAACCACAAAAATGAGTTCAGTGTCATAGGTTCGCCATCAACTGAACTAGAAGAATTATATTGACTGTGGGATATGGTGTGTTTTTGGTGTTTAAAGTGACAAGAAGTGGGACTTCCAAAGGCTTGAGCACCGAGGGCTGAGGAAGGCCCTGACACCTGAGCAAGGGGAGGAGAAAGGGCTCCTGCAAGTGTCAAGTCTCCTCAGGCCACACAACTGCCCACAATTCATCACAAAAGCCCGGGGCTCCAATGTAAACACTGCCAGAGAGATATGTCCCAGCCGCCCCGGTGCAGGAGTTCGCGCATTTTAGTGCGCGGCAGGCTCCCTTGGAAATCTCTTTTTTAAATGCCTATTTTGGGGTCCCCCAAACCAGAATCTATGATTCAGCAGTGCTTGGACAGTCCAGACCTTCCACGGGCCACACTTTGGAAAAGCTCTAGCGCAGCGGGTGCTCAGAGGAAGGAGCGAGGAGGGGACTGGCTGGGTGATGCACCCGGACAAGGGAAGGTAACGGCCCATTTTGGTAGAGAGCTGCCTGGGGATGGCTTTCCCATCAGAAGGTTTGGCCTGAAAACCGCTGAGTGTCTGTCATGGATTTCTCATTCTCAAATGTAATCAGGTGTTTTCAATGTAAAAATAACACGCTCATCTTCGCATTCATAAAAGAGCACTTTCTGCTAACAAAAGCTTCCTGATTCAAGCTTCACAGCAGGTTTCCAAGCCCAGTATTGCAGAGCCCGGGATGTCAGGACCAAGAGGAAAAGTGTCCAGTGGTGCCATTTTTGTGACCGGGAAACTGAGCGCTGGAAAGGGTTACATCACCTGCACACAGTGACACAGCTAGTTGACGGCAAACCTGGGACTCACGCTCTTTGTGTTCCACTTTGCGCTTTTCCGAATCCTCTGTGGTAAGCAAAACTGTTGCCTTGGCCGTGCCATTTCAGACTGGTTTCCCTTGAGCACTGCAGTCTTTCTCTCCAGGTCGTCGGGAGGAATCCGGTGTGGTAGTCACATTGTGGTAGTCACGCTGGGAGGAATCCGGTGTGGTAGTCACATTGTGGTAGTCATGCTGGGAGGTAGTCACATTGTGGTAGTCACGCTGGGAGGAATCCGGTGTGGTAGTCACATTGTGGTAGTCACGCTGGGAGGAATCCGGTGTGGTAGTTAGGAGCACGGGCTTCAGAACCATACAGGGCCAAGCCCACATGCTGGCTCCACCACGGCAAATGCCTTCACTTCTCTGAACTCCCGGATAGCAGGGGAACAGGAAGAGCTACCGCACTGGGCTGCCTGCAGGAGCTCTGGCTCTTAGATCACCAAGTTCTCTCCTGTAAAGTTAATCAACCACTTGCTCCATATGTTTATATTCTCTAGGGCTCAGCCCAGCCTTCAGAATGGTGTCTTCCCCAGGTGAGCAGGAGGGAACACCTATTTTCACTGACTTTCTAGCTTCTGCACTGCTGGGGTGATGTCTGCTGGGCTGAGCTCAGCAAAGCTCCCTGAGAAATAAAATGGCCCAGGGAAAGATGAATATACTATTCTTTCCAGAGGCAATCACCACATGTGGTTAGCAGAAAATTTTCATTCAATGTCCCAGTGAAAGGAAGCAGATAGGTGATTAACCCAAAATTTATATTAGCCTTGGGGTGAATTATATGACATCAGAGGGTGGGTAGCAGACTTTTGTTCTGGATTATTTTATGCACAGAGACTATTAGGATTTATACTAGTCCCCGAGGGACATCAGCTCACAGGCTGGGAAGGCAGCCCAGAGGCCCAGGATTTCAGGGTCTGAGGGAATCGTCTGGCTCACGCAGACACTGGAGAGTGAACTTTTCATTTCACTTGCCAAATGTGTGAGAGGCTTTGTTACTTTCTCCAAAGCCCAGAGAATCTATAACAGCTTCTCCTCTACGCTGTGGGATCTGGCACTGCCAAACAGTGACTGCCACAGCCCGCTCCCGGAGAGAGGTGCAGTAGGGACCGCACTGAGCACTGTTCTGAGCAGCCCCTGGCAGCTCCATCCTTCACGGCCTACTTTAGAACTGCAGCAGCTCTTTATTCGCTTTACAGAAAAACTCCATAGTGGTCTGCCAATAATCCAAATCCGATGTCCCCTGCACACCCGCAGAGTTCTGTAGCAAGGAGCACTGGTCTGTTACTTTGGCTGGAGAGCTGCCATGGAGCAGGAAAGTCACTTCTTCGGGCTGGCCTCCCCATGAGTGGCCAGGAGAAAGCATCCATGGCTTTACCAAACAGATGGAGTTTGGAACCCTCATTGTCCTCAGTGTCAGCTGTTTGACCTGGGGCCAAGTGGGCCTCAGCTACTCAAATGTGAGCTGGAGATCTCTGTAAGCGCTGCTCCCCGGGTGTGGTGAGGACTGAAGGAGAATGTAGCACATGTCAGATGGCCCACACATGGTAGGTCTAATGATCTTTCCGCTTAGGAGGGGCACTCTTAAAACAGGCTCCTCCTTTCCAAGAAAACACTCTTTTTTAGCTTTCTAAACTGGCAAAACAGCCTCCTTCCCCGCCACCCCCCAAACATGCCAATCTTAACAGAAACTTGTGAAAACACTAGGGGTCATCATACCAAGAAATGCTTGCCCCGAGTGAGAACCACTGGTTAGAGCCACATGCTTCTGTCTCTGGCTGTGGACTACCCACTTTTAGGGCCACATTCTACTCTTAGGTAAGATAAGTTGGGCAATCTTGAGGACAGGAGATTCAGAACATTTCTTGAGCCATACTGAACCAGAAGCCAGGAAATAAGATGGTTAATTCCTAAGCCGAGCCCTTGCTCAGCCTGGGACTCAACTGCCTGATGCTCCTGTGGATTCTCACCAGGAGCTGCGCAGAGTTTGGAAGCGTGTCCGGAACAGGGGAGTTTTAGTAGGTAGGACCTGTGTTCTGCATCCTCCCTCCTCTCCTCATATTTTTATCCTCAGGTGTAGCCCAGGGTTCTGGTTTCACAGTAGCTCCCATGGCCAGGACATTCGCTACAGAAACATCAGGCACCTATTCTATGTCTACAGTATGGGCATACAAAGAAAGAATTAGTTGATTTTTTCCCTCAGACAGCTTACAGTCTGGTTAGAAGATAAAATTACCAGTCTGTCTAAATACTTCATCTTTTAAAGCCACATAAGATTATTCCAAAGCCATAGGCATGATTATTTCTTAATAGAACCAAGAGCATGTTCAGTGCGGAGACTGTCTCATGGAGATTGGAAACAGTTCACGTGTCTGGAGCAACCAGATCTACCTCCACTGTAGAGGACATTTCTGCTAGCAGAGCAGTTTGGCACCTTCTTTCATGCCTCATTTTATCATCACCTCCTCCCATGTCAGGTGATCCCACACTTCAGGTCCTGGAAGAAGTGTATCAGATTCCAGGCTCACTACCGCAGCTGGCCCAGCATAGGTGCTCACTTCTCTTAAATTAGCATTTCCTTTGACTTCCCATTTCATCCTTTCCCCATGGAACCATGGCTTTGAATATGGCCCCTGCAAGGGACCTGACTAATGGTACAGAAGCAGTCTGCCTGCTATTCCCGTCATGAGGCAGCAGTGGTAGCTGGAGATCAGATGGGAGGCGGGGGGCGGGGGCCGCATCCTGAACGCTGCTCACTGAGCCCACGCACCCTCCATACTCTAATATGGCTGGCTCAGTTGAAGGCCTTGATTACCTCCTGCCCATCTTGCAGGGCCACGTTGTTCACCGTGGCCTGGGGGGTGAGGTGGTTGGCCCTTCTAAGGTCTGGCGCACTTGCTTGTAGAAGGCGGCCTTGTCCAAAGACCCCAACGACCCCACAGGACGGCTCAAGGAGCCGATCTTTCTCCTCCTTGAGTCTCATGGTCTCTTCCTCCAGCTGCTCTTCTGGGACTACTCTGCTGAGGAGCCCATGGAGCAAGGCCTTCTGAGCAGAAATGGGCTCCTCAGTGAAAAGCATTTCTGGGGGAGGAGATATGGGTGGCTATTAAGGCGCTCTCTGACCCCTGCCACCGACTCCCACCGCTCCTTTCACTCTGCTGAGATGGTTGGTGTCTTGACTTCCTGACAACCTGGGCCCAGTTCTCAGGAACAGATCGATCTTTCCAGGAGCAAGGACAGGGAGGGACCCTGCTATCAGCCTCTCTCTCCATCCAGAAGACCAAGGAGGTCTTAATGGGATTAAAGCTGCTCAGGAAAGAAGTTTTGACTGTAGTGTCAGGGCCAGAGCCCAGGACAGAACTCCTGGCCTACCTTCGACTTCCTAATTGCCCCCTAGTTTATGCCTCTTTCTGGGCCTCAGTTTCCTCACCTGCCTAGTGGGGTAATACTGTTTAGCACCATGTTGATTTATGGGGACTTTGTCCAGGCAGATTAGGTAATGGAGTGGCATTCCTTAAGGAATAGAAAACCTGTTTATTTTATAGCATGCCAGCAACAACCTTTACTTACTGCTTCAGTTTCTATTTAGTGAGCTCCTGAAACTTCAGGTGAGAGAGAAGAAAATACCTCCTTTTCCCTAATCGACTCTTGTTCATTTTAGGGGGCACCTCTTTGGTCTCCTTAACAAATTGGTGTTTTAATACTTCCTCCCCCTGGGCTATTTGCATTAAAAAATACCCCAGAAAGGTCTGGAGGCCAAGGCTCACCCCCCAGGAAGTGGAGCTGTGTCTGGATGTCCCTTACTAACCACAAGACCTTAAGGCAGGGGTTGGGGAACATGTGGCCCATGGGCCATATACTGGGAAGGCCTGTGAAATCATTTGGTCTGACCCTGCCAAGGCATTAGGGGTGAGTTAATTAAATGTTTGACCAAATGCAGCAGGCTAATTTTTAAGCTGATAAGTTTGTATGGCCCATGAATGATATTTATAAATATCATTATGGCTGTCTGTAGAAAAAAAGGTCCCCCACCCTTGCCTTTAGGAACAATTTAACCCATTTAAATCTGTTTCCTTATCTGAAAAACAGGAATGAGACCACCATCCTCCTACAGAATTGTCAGGACTAGAGAAATTATGTGTACAGTTTATACTACAGTGCGGGGTACTCAGTAGGCACCCACTAAGTGCAGTGGCTGTTATTCACATGCTTATTCCAGCTATAAACATGTATGAATCTTTAATGCTGTGATCATGGCCCCTGAAAGCAGAGCTGTCTTCCAATCCCCTCCAGTCACTGATGACAAGAACCAGCTGGTGGCAGAGGAGGGGCTGGGATGCTGGAGGACTCAGAGAGGAATGAAAATGACAGGATCACGGGGCTTATTTAATTGGCTGGGCAACCTGAGGAGTGAATTAGGATGCTGAGCATGTTCTCAAAGGCACTAAGGTACCTCTGACGGCCACACGAGTCACCGTTAGAGTGCAGGTTTTGATGTAGTCGATCTGGGCGGGCCTGAGACCTGCATTTCTCCAATGAACTGCACACCAGCTCCAATGAACTGCACACCAGCTGAGTGGCAATGCCTTAACACTCCTTCCAGCATGGAAGTTCTACTCTGTTCTAATTAGACAACCGAGAAATCAGATTCTACACATACACAAGTAACCATGGGTAAACAGTGGCAGCAAGTCTTCCTACCACAGAGAAATGACTGGTTAAGGATGAGGGGGTTCGAATCTTCATGTGCTGTATGGGGGGAGGGACGGGGTGCCACTCAATGAGGCATTGGCTCCACATTTCTGATGGCGAAGGGAGCAGCTGCACCAGGCAGGTTGTTTATATGGTGCAATGAAGATGCATTATTTAACTCATGCCAGAGGAGAGAAACACTTTGCAAATGTGGAAAATTATTAATGCCCAGGCTCAGTTTGGCTTGAACACCAGGGCCTCATGCCATCATTTCTGCTCCCAGTAGACCTTTATCTCTGGCACAGCTGAGCAGTTTCCCATGGAGACCAGCAGAGTACTGGTGACCCACATGTGTGGCCTTAGCCTGCATGAAAAAGGCCAAGCTTTCCAATTAGGCCAGTTTGCAAAAGCACATGCTTGCTTTCCTGTGGATGTGCATGGGGACACGGGCCCAACATGCACACACAGTCACTGGGCCTGTGTATGAATGTGTTCCTGTGGGTGCAATCAAGTAATGACAACAGGTAGGTGTGTTTCATTCAGGTTTAGATTTTTGTGAGTCCCCAGTTTTCCTCCTAAAGGGGTCACCCAGGTAAGATCTGCAGTCCAGAAACCTGGCAAAGGCCTTGAGTGCCAAAAGGCTCTTTACTACATTAAATTCCCATGATCGGTACGACAATTTCAGCTCATTAATACTGACCTGAAATCATATCTCTGTCTCATGCCTCCAAGTAGCTCCAAGTAGTCCCATGTGCAGGGACAAGTGTTACAACTAGAAAAAACTCTGAAGACTTCAAAACAAGAACACTAGCCCTAACTAGTGATTCAGAGGCCTCCTGGGATCAGGACAGGAGGAACACAGCAGGGATCTGAGTGGGACACTGGAGATCCTCTCCCGACTTCTGAGTGGGTTTGGCACTGCCAGAACTTTCTGTGGGAGGAAACAGTTACTTTGATTTTACAATGTCCTGCCCCTTAATTTCTCATGCTGGACAATTATGCAACATGGTTCTAAGTATTGGGTTTCCTGGGAACTGAAGTTCTGTTTTTGCCACATTTTCTCTCTTTCTTCTCAAAAATGAATTTAAAATTTGGCCAGTATGATATAATGTTTAAGTTTTTAGGACTCAATGATAAGCCTTGATTTTAAAAGTTTGTTTATGTTAAGAGAGAATAGGTTCTTAACATGGAACCTTCCAGAATGTCAGGTGTTGAAGATGAACAGCTGCAGTTATTCTTCATGCAAAATGTACTGATTCAAGTGAATTCTGGAACCAATCCTCCAGTGCATGTGAGAGTTACAACTAGAGAGGAGGTTGCAGGGGGTCAGATTACCATTCTCAGCACTGCTCTCTCCAAGGCCACTCCTGGGGTGGAGCAGAAGAGCCCAGTGTTCACACCTGGAGGGGCAAATGAGGATTTCTCACTGGCCACGCCAATGTTACAGCTGGCAACCAGCTGACAGCCAGCAGCGGTGGTCAAGCAGTTCACCATGGCGATCCCGGGGATGGGGTGATTCTGGTCAGCATCATGACCTGAAGGAGCAAACATACTAGTACAATTCACATCCATCGAGAGCGATGTGAATTAATACCTTGGCAGTATTAATGTTTATTTCATATGACTTACCTGCTTTCAGAGCACTTTTCATCCCCATTAGTGTCTCAGAGTCTATGGAAAAAGGGCAGCAGGCATGAAGAGAACTTGCATTGAATATTGACTGTGGACCAGACTGTGCCATTTGATTCCCGAGAAGCCCAGGAGGAAGGAACACTACACTACAGTCAGGACACAAGGCTCAGGGGGATGGAACCGGCCTAAGGCCACAAGTGGTGGCTGTGGGGTCTCAACGCACATCTGTCTGACTCCTAGCCCCTGGCCCCATTTCTAGTAATTCTCAAATTACCACCAGGAAGACTCTCTCAATTATATTAAAACTAGAGGCTTGGTGCATGAAATTCATGCACAAGTAGGGTCCATAGGCCTGGCCCGTGATCTGGGCCAATCAGGGCCTTCTGGCTGCCAGCTGGGGCCTTCTTTCATTCTGTGCTGACCCCTGGTGGTCAGTGCATGTCATAGCAAGTGATCAAACTCCTGGTCTCCCAGTTGAACTCCCAAGGGGACACTTTGCATATTAGCCTTTTATATACAGTGGGGCCTTGACTTTTGAGTGTCCTGACTAACGAGTTTTTCGAGATATGAGCCATCTCTTGGCCGATGTTTTGCTTTGAGTTGCGAGCTAAAATTCGGGTTATGAGCCAGCGTCAGATACCCCACCGCTAGTTGGCGCAACAAACATCACAGTGAACGCCACAACATCAGCCCAGCATCACATGTCTCACTCGTTCACTTTTTGATTTGACATACGAGTGATTTGAGTTATGAGGTCCGTCCCGGAACAAATTAAACTCGTAAGTCAAGGCCCCACTGTATATAGATGGTGAGGAACATCCTGCTGTCATCTCAATAAACAAAATTCCTTAAACAGCACCATTGGCACAGAGAGAGCAGCCCAAATCTTGCTCATGTGATATACCCTTCCTCTCATAAGTCTCCAGAACTTTAACTTATTTTTGCAGCTTACAAAATAACTTATTTACTTCTCCACTTCTTTGTGACACCCTACACCAAGCACGTTAAACTCAAAGGCTAACACGGGCCAAATAAACAAGGCTTAAGTTTATGTGGGCACCAAAAAAACAAATTTCATAATTTCCATAGAAACATAGGTTCATTTCAATAGAGACATACTGAATACAAAGGGCTGATGTTTCTTACATACCATTATATTGACTGGGCCACAAAAATATTCATTGTGGCCACATGTGGCCCATGGGCCTTGAGTTTGACATGCTTGCTCTACACAGATTGCATTGTTATGGTAATTTCTAATGGTTGCTCTTTGAACCTTGGCAGGGAAGGAGGGGAGGCAGAGTTTCATCCAAAAGCCTTACTATGGGCTTTTCTACCATGATGGCAACTCAAAGAAAGAAGACCTTCATTGATTTTGCCCAAGGCACTTACCTTTGTCTTTATAAGCATTTGATATTTGTCAGCTTTATTATAACACTAGAGGCTCGGTGCACGAATTCATGCATTGGTGGGGTCCAGCCAGCCTGCCTCGATGGGGGTCATCAGGGGTGGGCTGGCTGGGGTAAGGGGCTGTGGGCAGGGCTGGCTGGTCCTGCCCCTGATTGGGGTGGGTATGCCCTCTCAGGGGTGGGGCCAGCCGGGGCGAGGGGCCACAGGCATTCCAGTCATTCCACCATTCAGCCAATTTGCATATTGCCCCTTTATTATATAGGATAACTAATTATATATTTAAGGATATGTTGTCATATTCTATAGTAGTGGCTCTTGACTTTTTTGGGGGTCACCTTTGAAAAATCTAAGTGCTAGTGACTCTCTTCATAAATGCACTTTTGTGTTCTTGTACCCCAAGCAACTCATGGATTATGGGGTTCATGTACTATAGGTGAGAATGGGGATGGTCAGTGACAGCTTATTCACAGTGAGCTACAGCAACAAGGAGAAGAACGCACAAGAACTTCAGAAATCTTACTGCAAAAAAAGACAAAATTTTGTTTACCTCTGTGTGTCACCTAATTAACTTCAGTTATTTATGTAAAGTCAACTGGCTGTGATTAGACTTGTTTGTCTCCTGTCTGCCACCTAAGAAAGGATAGGATTTCATACTATCTGGTGGGAAAATAGTTAGGTAACCCAGTATATATCAACAACATTAATACTACTCATACCTTTGATCTAGGAATTGTACTAACAAGAAACCATCTGAAAGGGTAAAAAGCTGTCTGGTCAAAGATGTTAACTAAATCATCACTCTATAATAATAAAATCTACAACTAATAAGTGTATAAAAATAAGGAAATGGCTATGTTAAATAGACTATATTCATTTCATCTCATTAAAATGAAATTTTCCAAGAGAAACATCAGCATGGTAATTTGGACCTTATGTAGTAGAGCCAGCTGCTGGGGTTTGATGACCAGTATAGACTCACTGACTGCCTAACACTCAATCTTCACATCTGTAAAATGGGCATAATAATAATACCAACTTTACAGAATATGAGAGTTACATAAATTAATATGTCTAAAGTACTCAAAATATTATCTGTAACACCATAAGCATTCAATGTTATCTGATAAAATTACAATGTAATCATATCTATGTATGATTATTCAGACAAATATATATGTAGAAAAATGATTAAAGAGAAATGTAGTGAATATTTTTATTAATTAGATAGTTCACTCTGGGTGGTATGATCATGGTATGGTATCAGTAATTTATTTTTCCTTTTTTTCTAGATTACCAAAATTTTCTGTAATAAGCATTTATAACTTTTATAATTAGGAAACAATTAAAATAAAGTTAGAGAGCAATGGCGAGAATAAAGTGGCCAGATAATTGAGACTTTAATAGTCAAGAATTGATTATTCCTATTTTACCCCCTGAATGAAGCACTTTTGAGGGTCCAGCCTAATCCAAAATGTGACATAAATTTGTCTCTGCCCTACCCTCACTGAACAGCATTCCTGAGGGTCCACATCATATCCAAAGGCCAGAGGGCCTGTCCCACTGTCATTTCCGCGTGGAGGTGTGAGGGGAAAGGGAAGGATCCCCTGGACCGGGGTTTCCGCTGTCAAACTCCACAGGACATTGAAGAAGACAGTCACGAACAGGTGTCCAGGGAAAGCTCTGCATCGGCTCACAGAGGTTACTGTCCCTCTTCCATAACCAAGCACTTCTTCTCATTCTCAGTTTGCCCTATTTCTGATTTTTTAAATAATTAACTATCAAGCCGTACTCATGGTCTAAACAAGTTTGTTATAGATTTTAGAGACAGAGCTAATTCAGATATCTCTATCTTCCTTTCCGAAATCAAATTTCCTCGTGCATGAACCCAACGTGAAATATCTAGCTCATTCTGTTCCAATCTGCCTGTTGATTACACTTGAAAATTGAAATCTTGCACAAGTTTATGGCACTCATATTTATTCAGACCATTTGATTTTCTTAGGGGAAAAATGTTAAAGAAATCAATGCATTTTCACTGGATCAGTGTAGGCACTGGGCCCTTTTCAGTGAGCTGGAGGCAGCCGCAAAATCAGTCTTGATCCTCTGAAGAAGCCTGGCTCCTAGTGGCCCTTCGGTAACTTGTTTAGATCCCAGTTCAGGCAGATCCCCCCACAGAGTGCTAAAAGCAGGTCCTTTTGCGTAGATGGAAGGGCTCTACTGGTTCTCTGTGATGATTTTCCGTTTTGGTCAAACTTACTGGGTATCAATAGGAAAATAACTCTTAAAGCACCAGGCCTTGGCAAACACAGGAGCAGAGTGTTACAGTCATTAATGTGAAACAGAAGCCCTAAGTCCTGGCTCTGGCTTGTTCTCCTCTCTCATCAAGCCAATCACTTTCCCCCTTTGTCCCTCCAAGAAGTGAGAAAACTCTAATTTGATCTCCAGAGGGATTCTGGAAAGGCAAGAAAAGCAAAGGATGGTAAAGAAGGTATCCGATTCACTGTCTGTTTCCCAACCCCCCATTGCTCACCTCTGTCTTCTCTACATAGCAGGTATTATTATCTATTTGTTGAATCACAAATGATCAAATTAATAAATGAATAAGTGTATAAATAGTGAAAACTTAGGTTAAGTTACCTTAGGAGGCAGTTATGAAACTGTTTCATGTGTCTTGTTTCTCAATTAGGTTTCCATTTTTAGTTTGGCAAGAAACTTTTTTCCTTCTATTTCCCTCAATATCTTGGAAGTATCATACATACATATAGCAGGTACTCAATAAATACTCCAGAAATGAACATGTGTTATGTAAATTGGTCGATCAGTGATTCTCTCATCATTGATGTTTCTATCTCCCTCTCCTCCCTTCCTCTCTGAAATCAATAAAAAACAAAACAAAAAAACACATAGTGTGTTATGTAAATTGGATTCTATATTTAATTTTTTTATAATTCAGGGGTCGATTTGATACATGTATAAATCATCTCAAACGTTTTGTTCTTCTTCTGTATGTGTTGGCAATTTCCCTTCTTAATATGGTTAAAGAGACAGAAGTAAAAATGAAGAGGTTAATTTTCCTACTTGGAGGTGATGACTATAAAGGCTGGTTGAAAGAAAGGTTTGAAAATAATTTTAAAAATCATTATTGTTATTCCATTTATGAACACTCTCTCTTTTCCTATTAACAGAATTGTTTTAAATTATAATCTTAGGTTCTTTCTCTCTAAAGATGTCCATTTCCACCCTTTACCTCTTAAGACATGTATAACAAGACATACCCATGATGCTGGAGATGGCAGCTATCAATCTGATCCCTAGAAGGGTTTATCATATACTTCACTTTCTTTGGCATATCGCAATATCAATAGCAAACTATGGATGCTTGCTAAAAGTCTAAACCAAATTGTTGCTTGGATGAAGGATTCACCAATGACTACAGAGGTTTCAGTAGTTCTGCAGTGGTTAGGTCTCATAGATAAAACCGTACCTGTAACTAGAAGCCCAATTCTCATTTAATGTGCATAATTATCATTTTCAGGTTTGCAATGCCAAACACCCTCCTGGCTTACTTCAGAACAGGTTTGAAATACTTCAGCATGGTATTCTATCTAGACCTTGCTCATCCATCAGTTCCTTTAAATGATACCCGGAAGAAAATGCAGGCCCCCTCAGCCACAGATGTTTCCAGTTGAGAAAATAAAATAAACAGGTGTAAACAGCAGAGCTGGGAAGGTTACTTATTTGTCAGCTGAATAACTTTAATGAACAATTGTATCAATGATGTGGACACAGAAAGTTAATGACCCAATTTGGTAAAAATAATTCCAGTTAACTTGAAAAGTTACAGCCAATATTTTGTGATGACAATTCACGTAAGGCATCTGCACTCTAAGAGGTCCGTGTGTAAACCAATGAACACGTGCAGTTACACAAAGGAGAGAGCTCAGTAACCAGAGCAAATGGACTTCTTTCAGAGGTGTCCCTCCAGTCTCACAGGTGTTTTTTGTTTTTTTTTTAATATATTTTATTGATTTTTTACAGAGAGGAAGAGAGAGGGATAGAGAGTTAGAAACATCAATGAGAGAGAGACATCGATCAGCTGCCTCCTGCACATCTCCCACTGGGGATGTGCCCGCAACCCAGGTACATGCCCTTGACCGGAATCGAACCTGGGACCTTTCAGTCCGCAGGCCGACGCTCTATCCACTGAGCCAAACCAGTTTCGGCCAGGTTTTTTTTTTTTTTAGACTTGGTTTGGCCTGACAGTATTGACTCATATGGGTCCATCAAAATCCATGTGGTCTCTGCTGAGTGTGATGAAGAAACTAAGACTTTTTTTTTGAGGGGGGAAATGGGGGTGGAGGGGAAAGGGCTAGCAGCCTGACTCTGTACCTAGTTAATCAGTATCCCTAATGCAAATTCTTGTTAACTTATAATCAAGTCACTGCCCCTTCCTTAATTATCTGGTCTTGCAAGACCTAGTTACCCAAATACATTTTACCAAGGCCATAAACCATGAACAGTACACAACTCCCAGAGGAGGTTATCAGTGCTGGCTCCAGGCCAGTCCTTTAGGTGTGGTCTCACCTCCTCCATCCCAGCACACTGAGCTTTTTGCAAAGCCCGAGAAAGGTCTGGAAGTCTGATCTATATTTGGGGGACAAAGAAACCAAAGGGTATAAAGAGAAAGCTTCCTCCATATTGGTTGGCTCAGGATTTGGAAACAGGCTCCCCTGAGTCACGGTATTAGTACATCTGGAAATAAATGGCCTTTTCCAGTATCTCCAAGTACTCCTGTGTATTTTTCGGTCACCTGGTAAATTCTGTAACAAGTGGTGCCAGTGCTTTGAGGGGTTCAGAAAAAGAAAAATTATTTTGACATTCCAACGCTGTTATTATAGCTACAGAAAGACAATAGACTCAGTTAAGGTAAAGATTGACCTTTGACAGGGAAATACTGTCCTAGGACATGACTACCCACCATAAACTGCTTTTTAATTAAAAAGTTTTAATTTCAGACCATCCTTTGTGGTTACTTTAGGTTTCTGAGTTTGCAAGGCTGCCATAGAGGCCTTCCCTGAGCTAGTCAGGTTAGCACGTGGCCCCCTTCTTTCCACAACAGAAAGAAAATACCTCAGTGGGCTTGCTTTGAGGCCTGAAACCAGGGATGCTTCCTCAAGATGAGGGAGGAGAGGGGTTCTGGTGGAGGGTGGTTCTTAGGGAATTCCCAGAAATATCCTAGGACATTTCTGGCCACCTTCAGTACTATCCCCTCACCACTACCCTCCCCGGGCCACGCCCTCCTGCCTGATGCCAGCTGAAATCCTCTACAGGGCTGGGCAAACTTTTTGACTCGAGGGCCACAATGGGTTCTTAAACTGGACCAGAGGGCTGGAACAAAACCATGGATGGAGTGTTTGTGTGAACTAATATAAATTCAAAGTAAACATCATTACATAAAAGGGTACGGTTTTTTTTGTTTTTGTTTTTTTTAGTTTTATTCATTTCAAATGGGCCGTTCTGTTTTCTAAAAGTACTTCAAAAATAAAAACTAATTGAATTAAAATTTGTTTTAATTTTGGACAGGAAAGAACTTTAACTAAACCCTTCTACATGGTGAGGTAGAAGTCTAAACAGTGAAGTGAGGTCCACTAGTTTGTCTAATATCATGTTGCCAAACATATCTGTTTGTACAGAGAAAGAAAAGTCTTCCTTATCAGGCTTTTTCTCTGGGATATCAAAAACAATAATGATAATACTTTATCGGGTTATTTACAAAGCATTGAGCTAATTCTATCTGTATTCCCACTTCTATGTTTTGCTGCATTTACTTATGCCCAGTCTTGAAAAGGCAAAATTTCCTACTTCTTAAACGGGAGCAAGGGAACAAAAGAAACTGCTTTTAATCAAACATAACATCTATTGTTCACTCATAACTATATTCAAGAAACAATGACATCAAAAGAAAAGTCAAGAAAAGCAAACATAAACAAGTGGGATTATTTCAAACTAAAATGCTTCTGTACAGCAACGAAAACAATCAACAAAACAAAAAGCAATCTATCTAATGTGAGAAAATATGTGCAAACCTTATACCCGATAACAGGCTAAAATATATAAAGAACTCATACATCTCAGTGGGAAAAATAACCCAACTAAAACATGGGCAGAAGATCGGAACAGACACTTTCCCAAGGAGAACATACAGGTGGCCATAGATCAGTGCTTAGCATCACTAATCATCAGGCACTTGCAAATCAAAACCGAAGTGAGTTTATCACTTCACATTTTTTTCAAAAAGACAAGAAGTAAGTGACGGAGAGAGGATGTGGAGAAAAGGAACCTTCATGCACTGTTGATGGGAATGTAAATTGGTATAGTCACTATGGAAAATTATATGAAGGTTCCTCAAAAAATAAAAAATAGGATAGTATATAAAAAAGAGAAAAAACCGAAATGAAAGCACTATCTGGAAAATGTATCTGTACCCCCACGTTTATTGCAGCCTTGTTTACAATAGCCAAGACATGCAAACAACCTAAGTGTGGATCAGTAGGTAAAGAAAATGTGGTACATATATACACAATGGAATATGCTGAAGCAGGTCCTCCAGGCAACCACACAAGGCCAAATTGGTCTGTGCCTGGGGCCGCCTGCCCAGGGCCCAGTTCTCCTGGCCCAACTTCTGGCACCTCAGGCCACGCTGTACCCTGCGGAGGCAGGGACAAGCCTGCCTCCATTAGCAGCATCCTCGGCAGCTCCTGCCAGTCCACGTGGCCCAAGCAGGGTGACCCTGAAGACGGCCCTGAGCCAGCCTCGTAGCCTCACTCAGGCACCTCGGCATCCCCACCACCACCCCGCTGCTTACACCTCAGGCTCAGCTCCCGCCCCGACCCTGGGTGCTGCGAAGTTCCCCACCCCACGCCCACTGGGGGAGGCCTAGTTGAGACCTGTCAGGAGCTGGCCTTCTGCTGCAGCCTCCCTGTGGGGCTGAGTGCACTTGCCTTCAGTTATCTGCAGGAAGCTCAGGTCAGTGCTTCTGAAACTCAGCGCCCTTCACCCCACTCTGAGCCTGCAGGCCGCCCACCTGAGCAGCTCCCCTGCCCAGAGCCCCACAAGCCTGGCCTATGACTGCACAGGATGGAATCAGGGGAGCAAGAGAATGGGAGGGAAAAGGGGGGTGAGGGGGATGTTCTCTGGCTGAGGTGACACAGGGGGTCCTGGGCAAGTGGATGGGGAGACAGGGGAAGCAAAAGGGGAAGGAGGCTGGCAGATGCACTTCAGTAGGCCCCACTATAACCTGACAACCAAGGGGGTCTAGGCTGCCTGTCACCACTTGAGCCAATTAAGCAGAAACAGGGTTGACTCATATACGGGTATTTATTCCAATAATGCCAGCAGCATGGGAGAGCAGCAGTTATCCACAAAAACCTGCTCTACCTCTCCCCATAAGCCAGCTGCTCATATTGGGTAGAAGGGCAAAGATTAGGTGGAGAGTAAGAATTACAGGCATGGGAAAGTAGGCAAGGTATAATGGTTAAGGCTGGGGGTTGCAAAGGGTAGGTGCCTCCAGGACTGTTAGGTTGATAAAGGAGGAATGGTGAGGGATTATGAATTTATTCTATCATCTGCACACCAGGTGGCTGAACCTGGATGGCTCCAGCACCCAGTGACCAGAGTCAGCGGTTTTTAAAGGACTTTTGGCGGGATTTTTCTGGGCAGAGACTTCTTTATGCATACTCTGAGGGGAGATAATGGAATGTGGTCGCAGCAAGTGAAATGTAGTCTCAGCAAAGGGAATGTCCATAGTGAAATGGCCTGAAAAGCCAGCTCCTGGGGGAGGGGTATCGATTCAATTGCTTGATCAAACCTAACAAGGACGAGATTGTTTCAGCCACAAGGTTGTAAATCGTTCCATAATGATAGGCAGCTCTCAGGAAAGGAGGACGGATAGCATTCCAACGTTAGCTCCTATACAACTGCCATAAGCAGTAAAAAATACGCAATGTATGGCAAATAACACGTGTTAATAAGATACTCGATTTTGTCCATATTGAGTGAAGTGCAAGTTAAAGCCATTTGGTATCAGTTTTTGCCCATTAACTTGGTAAACATTTAAAAGCTCCTCAATTTTGACAGAGGAAAGTGGAAAAATATATTTTATATACTATCGAAAGGAATATAAATTGATACAGCCTTTGTGCCGGTGGTAGAATTTATCGAAATTTAAGATATGCATTATTTTTGACTCAGTAATTCTGTTTAGAAATCTATTCTACAGATATCTCTCGCATGTACAAAGAATTATAGGTACAAGAATGCTCGTTGAAGCAATGTTTATAGTAACAAAAACTGGAGATGACTTAAGTGCTAACTGGTATATGTAACTCTGTTGTATAGGGTGGTCATATGTTTCAGTTAGCTTGGGATGGGTCCCATTTACCTGTGCTACCAGAATAATTATCAAGAGCACTCTCCTTCACTCTCAGTAGTGTTCTGGTTTGTATACTAATTTACATGTTTATTATATGTGCACACTAATTGCAAGGATTACTGCGCATATGTTAAAAAGAATGAACTATATCCATTGACTTGCAACTATATTGGAGACTGTTAAATGAGAGAAAAGGGGTACAGAACAATATATACGTTCTCTCTTATTTATCTTTACTGTTGAAAGTGTTACAGATGTCCCCCTTTTTTGCCCCCCATGGACTCCCAACTGCCTGCTCCCCTCCCCTCCCCAGGCCTTCACCCCTCTATTGCCTGTGTCCATGGGTTATTCATATATGCATATAAGTTCTTTGTTTAATCCCCCCCCCACACACACACACACACTTCATTCCCTCTGAGGATCCTCAGTCTGTTCCATGCTTCCATGTCTCTGGATCTACTCTGTCAATTTATTTTGTTCATTAGATTCCACATATAAGTGAGATCATGTGATACTTGTCTTTCCTGACTGACTTATTTCACTTAGCATAGTACTCTCCAGGTCTCTCCATGATATAAAACCCCCTAAACTATGTGTGTGTGAATGAAAGACAATAAGAGACACAGAGAGGATCTAGTAGAAGGATTTACACTATTTTGCTAATACGATAATCTCTTGAAAGAAGTGGCAACCCCATGGATGGGAGCATATTTATTTATTTTAATTTTTTTATTGACTTTAGAGAGAGAGAGGGGAAGGGAGGGAAATAGATATTTATATATCTATATATCTATACATCTATGTATCTATATATCTATATGTCTATATGTCTATATGTCTATATGTCTATATGTCTATATATCTATATACTAGATTTGTTATTCCACTCATCCATTTATTCAGTGGTTGATTCTTGTATGCTGCCTGACTGGGAATCGAACCTGAAAACTGGGTGTATTGGGACAACACTCCAACTGAGCTACCTGGCCAGGACTTTATTTATTTATTTTTAATAAAAGCAGTGACAAATGGAGAGAACTGTTGAATGTTACCAGGTGCTACAATTTTTTACTAGAAAAGATTAATAAATTATGTGACTGTTATTAATATAAAATTACAACTTTATTGTTTTATGTCCTGTATAAATTTTAAAAGTTGTCATTCCACCATTACAAATCAACAAGGTTATCATATTACCTCCTGCTTCTTGTACATGTATATGCCATTATTATTAAGTAGTTATAATTAGATCACACATGTAATTTCATATATTTTTAAAAAATCATACTCTAGCGCAGGGCAAACTTTTTGACTCGAGGGCCACAATGGGTTCTTAAACTGGACTGGAGGGCTGGAACAAAAGCATGGATGGAGTGTTTGTGTGAACTAATATAAATTCAAAGTAAACATCATTACATAAAAGGGTACGGTCTTTTTTTTCAATAGTTTTATTCATTTCAAATGGGCCGGATCTGGCCCGCGGGCTGTAGTTTGCCCTTGGCTGCTCTAGAGTCAACCTTGAAGAAACCAAAATGGTGGCATAAGTAAACACCAGAGATTGCTGCCTCGCATAACCACCTCAAAAATACAACTAAGAGACAGAACGGACATCATCCAGAACCACAGGAAGGCTGGCTGAGTGGAAATTCTACAACTAGAAGGAAAGAGAAAAGCATACCGAGACTCAGAGGAGGTGCAGTGAGGAAGTAAAGTACAGAGGTATGGAGGCGCACGTGGAGAGGGCTGGTGGCTGAGGACACGGTTGTCTTTTTCAGTTGGGAGGGAGTCTCAAGCTCTGAGCTCCAGTTCCAGGTGAGTCTCTGGGGACCCAGACTCATACGGGAGAAACTGAACTGTATGGCATTGGTCAGAACTCAAGGGCGGCTTTCTCTCAGAGGTACTTGCAGCGATTACCAGGACACTGAGAAGCGGGGCCTCTGAGGGCAGCCATAGCTGCTTGTCCGCCCTGTTGATCCCCTGGGACCCCACCTTGCCCAGGCCATGCACGGAGGCTTTTGCATATGAAAGGCCTGGCCCTTTGCAATCTGAAAATTACCTAACAAACTGCAGCTGGCCCAAGGCCCCACAGCAACTTGCATTGCTTCACAGCTAGCTCCTGCTGGGTAGCCTCAGGCATAGGCTAGATTGGCACCTCTTTAGAGATCCAGGAACCAGTGTGCCCAGTGGTCAGAGTGGGACCATCCAGATTGCAGCTCCTCGGATTCATAAAGGACACACGCAGGGGGCAGACTCAGACAGCACCAAAGCCCCACTGAAGCAAGTCTTGCCCCGTAGGGGTGTCTCCAGCACAGAAGTTCTCCAACTAAAGACACAGCTGATTCTCACAGCCAATTGGCC